CATTCTTTAACCAGAGCTGAACTGGCCAGTAAGGAGTAATTCAGCATCTTACGGGAAGTTCTCGTCCTGTCTTCTTTTGGGGCTTGGGAATGTGAAAGTTATTTCATGCAGCAGCCTTCAGAGACACCTGCGCAATGCTGCAGAGATCGCTTCAGAATCAGAACCATCACAGTTTGGTTTCACAATGGGCAATAAAAGAGGTAACAACCAAGAGACTTGGATCCAGCCAAAACAAACCCCGAATGGAAAAATACAGCCTGGGTTGGCCCAGGTAGTGTTAACCACTAACACTGTTTCAGATGGAGAAAACCAAAAATCCTTCCTACACCAAGGAAATGTAATTACCCACGGAATCAGCACATTTCTCCAGTTCTCTTTTTGCCATTCCCATGAACTACATCAGTCGAAACCTTTCCCTTATGCCTAGCATATTTCAAACTCAAGTTGCTGATACAGAGTGACACAGCGATCAACGTCGATTTTCTAAGTCTTGGTGGGTTTCACAGCTGATATGTTGGCTGCTGAAATTCAGCAGGTTTCTAAGAACTATGTGACTAGTCTTATTATAATTAATGGAAGAGAGATGAACATATCCACAGACTTCCCTTCCTGTCATTTACACTGGGGAGCATCCATACAGCTGGAAAGTAAAGCCTTTTCTACGTGGTAAAATAAGCACCACATAAATATAAAGTGTGAATTTATAGCACACTAATGGCTTCCCATTAAACTGCTGATTGAACAGTTAGGATGTGGCAAGCCTGAGAAGCTTACTCCACTTCCAAAGACCAAGCCAAGAGTTGCTGTCCTTGGAAGCAGTGCAGCATAGCCAGCATCTCATGGATTCCTGATTTCATTTCTTTTGCATTTCCCATGCAGAAAAGCCCTAAGAAGTAACAGCGTAAGGCAATCAGCCCCACAGACCACATGCTGACAACATTATTGTTATTATTATTATGCACAAGTGAAGCAGGGCAGTGCTGATGTTCTCAAGTCGGGATGGCATTGCAATTCTGGAAGTGCAAAATGCTGTTAACAAATGACAAAAGAAACGTGCATCGGTCCAGCGGTGGAGGACCCCACAGTTCTGCGAGTCCATCCTTCAACTCCGACAGAGAGGGTGTTTCAGGGCTCCCACTGCCATCCCAGTCCTGGTTCAGAAGTGGTTAGGAAGGCTCTCCACTGGGTTCCTGCCATTCCTCGCATCTTCAGCCCTGGAAGTGCCAGCTCCACGTACCAGCCAAAATGTCTCCGGCTTCACTTACTGCCTGGAAGCAGCTCGTGTCATTCCAGCTACACGCACTGTCTCGGCAGCTTCCTCAGCCCCAGCGCTTGCAAAGGAATCGATAACACACCCAGCCCTAATGGCGTCCTCTCCAGCAAAGAATCTTCAGTGTCCTAAGAGCTCCTTTCCCCCACTAAAAGCTGCCCCTTAGGTAAGGGTCAGCCCTCACCGCGGGCAGGCGCAACGAGTTCCTCCTGCAATATAGCATTTTCATCTATCCTGTCTTTAAAACCTTGCTGTGTTTTAACTCCAAACCACAACGAGCACAAAGACAAATTGACTTTGGCACAGACAACCAGACCTCTCACCCACCACGAAGGACCAGAGCGGTCCTCGGGGGAAGCTCTGCCTCTCCAAGACCCCTCCGGCTCTGCCCCAGCTCCTCCCTCTCCGTGAGCAGGTGCCAGCACAGAGCTCCCAGCTCCCGGATCCAGGGCTCCCAGCTGCAGCTGCACTTGCACGCACGCCTGCCCGACGCAGAACAGCCGTCCGTCTGCCTTGCACGCGCTTGGAACTCCCTCCGGACTTGTCCTGCCATACACCCACCCTCCCTTCAGCTCCATCCCAAAGGTGTGCACGGAGGCATGCCCGGCCTCCACGTACATTAACGTAACAGAGCAGAGAGCATGGGAGAGAGCCAGCAAGAGACTCTGCAAAATAATAAATAATCACGGAAAAAACTAGGGCACAACAGCGTCGCTGGCCTTTGATGTTTCCCTCTCATCCTGCCCTGCCTTTTCTCCTGTGAAAGGGGAACGCTGCAAGGTGGGAAGAAGCCCCAGAGCAACAGGGACACAGGGCTGTTTCTATGCAGA